GTGCCTGTGGTCCCAGCTACTTGGGAGGCCAGGGTGGGAGGATCGCTTGAGCTGAGGAGTTATGATCACACCGCTGCACTCCAGCCTTGGCGACAGAGTGAGACCCTGTCTCTGAAAAAAAAAAAAAGTGAAATAATATACTTTTCTTCCAGTAGCAACACTTTCTGGCAGCCTTGTCCAGACCCCATCTCTCTCTTCCTCTTTCTTGGTCTTTACTAGCCTTTATGCCCTATCAAGGTAAACGATCAAACCTCTCCTGAATCTTTAACAAGCAGGATGTTGATCTCTTTTTCTAAAAAGAAAATGATCTTCTCTTATTACACACAGATGGTATAACTTACCTTTTTTTACTTTTTTTATACCAAAACTCCATCAACTAACTTATGAATAGTAAATAAACATTTGTCAACATCTGTTCTACCATGTAAAAACAATATACAGATAAACATGAGTAGTTAATTAAACAAGCACTGACGAAGTAAAAAAAATAGTTAATTACTGGGCATGGTGGCTCACATCTGTAATCCTAGCATTTTGGGAGGCCGAGGCAGTCAGATTGCTTGAGTCCAGGAGTTCAAAAACAGCGGGGCAACATGGCAAAACCCCAACTCTACAAAATAAAAATAAAAATTTCGCCTGGCCTGGTGGCACATGCCTGTAGTCTCAGCTACTCGGGAGGCTGAGGCTTAGGTAAAATCATGGCATGAACCATGATCATGCCATTGCACTCCAACCTGGGTGACAGAGTGAGCCCCTGTCCCAAAACAAAAAGTGAAATAAAATTAAAAAGTTCTTTACCTATAACATAACAATCCTGCCACACATAAAATAACAATATTTCTATCAAAACACCTATTTTTCTATTATTTTAAATCTAAAATTAAATGGAAATAATCCTTACAGATATTCATTAATCAAAATGATCCACAATACAATGCTTCTAGAATACATAAAGATGACCATAAAAGGAAAGTGAGTATATCTCAGCAAGACAACTGCAATGGCATTTTTGGTTATTATTGAAAAATTTAAGTTTAATAAAACTTTAAAAAGGGTGAAGGGCATCCTTAAAGGTAAACATAAATTATTAAAATCAGTTTTAATGGCCAGGGACAGTGACTCACGCCTATAATCCTCGCACTTTGTGAGGCTGAGGCGGGCAGATCACCTGAGGTCAGGAGTTTGAGACCAGCCTGGCCAACATGGTGAAACCCTGTCTCTACTAAAAATACAAAATTAGTCGGGCATGGTGGCGCACGCCTGTAATCCCAGCTGCTCAGGAGGCTGAGGCAGGAGAATCACTTGAACCCAGGAGGCAGAGTTTGCAGTGAGCCAAGATCACGCCACTGCACTCCAGCCTGAGCAAAAAAAAGAGCAAAACTCTGTCTCAAAAGAAAAAATAAATAAATAAAAATAAAAACAAAAGCAATTTTAATAAATTCCTAACTTGATCTTGAAATTAGTGCCCTAAAAATGGAGCAGTAACATAATTAAGTCAATCATCTTGTCTCAATATTAATGGTTAATGTAGAAACAGGTATAAAGGAAAATTTCTCAGAAAGATGAGATTGTTCATTGTTCTTGTGGATATGTAAAAACAATGCTGACTGAAAAGCAGCCAACTGGACAGCTGCAGATGCTGAACCCAATGGAAACACTAAGCAGGCATAGCACAAATCAGTAATTAACAAAGCAGATGCAGAAAGCTTGATGAGGGTGAATAATTGCATAGATGGGAATAGTAAAAGGAGCTGGTAACAGTACAAGTTTTATAAGAAATTGGATAAACTCTTTGTATTCATGAATTTGTTAGCAAGAGTGCTTCAATAATACACAGATAATAGATTTTAAAAATGTTTTGATTACATTGATAAATACCTTTATATGGTACTTATCACTAAAGAAATTTAAAAATGGTCCACAGGAAAATATTGGTAGGGTGAACATAAAAATAATTATAAAAGTAAAGAATGAAGTAATATTTCAGGTAGGCTAACTACAGAGGCATCAAATTTGTTTATTTTTGGCATTCTTAATTTTAATGACATGTTGAAATTAGAATACACAACATTTTCTAATTTTTATATGTATGTATGCATGTACATATATATACACACATGCATGTATTTTATAGAAAATCTTCCCGGCCGGGCGCGGTGGCTCAAGCCTGTAATCCCAGCACTTTGGGAGGCCGAGACGGGTGGATCACGAGGTCAGGAGATCAAGACCATCTTGGCTAACACGGTGAAACCCCGTCTCTACTAAAAAATACAAAAAACTAGCCGGGCGACGTGGCGGGCGCTGTAGTCCCAGCTACTCGGGAGGCTGAGGCAGGAGAATGGTGTAAACCTGGGAGGTGGAGCTTGCAGTGAGCTGAGATCCGGCCACTGCACTCCAGCCTGGGCAACAGAGCGAGACTCTGTCTCAAAAAAAAAAAAAAAGAAAAAAAAAAAGAAAATCTTCCCTACTAGTCAGGACTTTCCTTGAGGATAGGTATCATGTTTTGTTATATACTCCAAAAACACCAAGCCCAGTGTCTTCTATATAAATAAATACCTGTGGAATCAGGAAGATAATATATATCTTGGTTACTTAAAATATAATGAAAATAGGCAATATGATTAAACATACTTTAGTAAAAGCATTCAGAGTAAACTGCACAGACACTGAACATATGACTTGGTAACATCTTTTAGGAGGCTTTCTTTTTTGAGAAATAGCTCTTAAACTACAGTGACAGACTTTTTTGAGAAATAGCTCTTAAACTGCTCTTAAACTGCAGTTTAAAAACTAGAAATTTGTAGAGGTATAGATGCATTTATAGCAAACTTGGAAAACAGCTTTCAGAATTCTGGGTATATAAGGAAGCCAACAGCATGGTTCATTTAGAGCCTTTTTCCTTAGGACATATGTTGCAAGAATTACTACTCTTACAAATGCAACAGATTCATTGCTCGTTACTATAGCAAGTGTTTTAACCCAAAGCAGATTTGTTCTTCATCTATTGGTCCATTTGATATAATTCCATATTATTTTAGTTATCATTATAAATGCACACACTTTCTATTGTCTACTTATTCATTAATTCACAAATATTTACTGAGGGCCTGCTACGTGCCAGTCACTCTTCTTGGTGCAGGGATATAGCAGTGAACAAACAAAAATCACTGCACTTGTGGAAATTTTATTCTAGGGATAAAATATCAGACAATAGTTATGATAAATCAATAAAATATGTAATAAATTAGACAATGTTAAGTGCTAAGTAAAAAAATAAAGCAGAGAAGGGCTATAGGAAATATGAAGGAGTAGAATTTTAAATAGAGTGGCCAGGGAAGGGTTCACGAAGAAGTGACATTTGGGTTAAGTCCTGAGGAAGCAAGGGAGATAGTCCTGCAGATATCTGAGGGTAGAACATTCCATGCGGGGAGAATTCCAAGTTGCAAAGGCCTTGAGGTGAAATAGTGCCTGGAATTGAGGAATATCAAGGAGGCCAGTGTGTCTATGGGGGAGGAAGTAGTTGGAGATGAGATCAAAGGGGTGACAGGAGGCTAGGTCATAAAGGACTTCACAGGAAAGGAAGCCACTGAAGGTTTTGAACAGAGTGACATGATCTGATTTTTTCACAGGTTCATTCTGGCCACTGAGTTTTGAGAACAGTGTGAAAGAGGGTAGGGTGGGAATACAGAGACGGTCTAGAAGACTGCTATAATCCAGACAAGAGGTGGTGGTGGCTTGAACCAGAGTGGTAGCAAGTGGCTAGACTCTGGATGTATTTCGAAGATAGTATTCACAGGATTTGAAGACAGAATATGAAGTGAGGTTATCCAGTATTTGTGATATAGTTATATTTCCACTGTTCTCTCCTAAGTGATGAAAAAGAATTTCTCACAAGTTGTCTGACATTCTCAGAGTTTGACGGTCCTGATATTCAACTTTCTTTTGTTCCTGAGTTTGAAAACACACCCCATTATTTCCATGTCTTACCTCAGCCTTGAGGATGAAGACTGACAGTTGCCAGCACTATCTCATGAGCTCTTCCTAGACTGTAAGCTCCACTAGGCTTATTTCATTCCCCTTGATGTCCTCAAAGCCTGACTCAGAACCTTGCACACGTTAGGGTCTCAAAAAATGTTTGTTGAATGGTTTAGTCTACATTTCCCATTCCCACTGTTTTTTTTTTTTTTTAAGTTTCACCGTGTCACCCAGGCTGGAGTGCTGCAGTGGCGCGACCATGGCCCACTGCATGCTCACCTCCCAGACTCAAGCAGTCCTCCTGCCTCGGCCTCCCGAGTAGCTGGGACTACAGAAGTGCGCCGCCACGATTTGTTAATTTTTTGTGTTTTTAGTAGAGTTGAGTTTTCGCCATGTGGCCCAGGCTGGTCTCCAACTCCTGGCCTCCAACGATCCACCCGCCTTGGCCTCCCAAAGTGCGAGGATTACAGACATGAGCCACCGCGGCCTGCCTCCCAGTTATTGTAAAAGATTAAATTTTCACACTTGCTAATGTGAAAATGAATAATAAACTGAAAATAACATTAAGCCCTTATCAATTGCAGAATCACAAGCTACAGTGTGAATTTCAGTATTAAGGATAGTATGCTGGGGTACTGTCAAGTGGTCATTGAGCCTCTTGCACTTTTCACTCTTACTAGCTCAACCTAAAGGTGTTTTAGCTTCCCCGCACCTCCTAAGCGGAAGGACTGGCTTTGCTATTTGCAGTTAGGGCCGAGTGTCACAGCGCACCATGGAGTTCAGTCCCCTTTAAAAGGGTACAAACGTCTCTGAAAGATCAGTCAACATGCGTTATCCGACTAGCGGGAGACCCCAGCCGCTCGCGGGCACAGCCACAAGCCCTGGAGACACTAGCCCGCGCTGCGCACGCCGGGAGTTGTAGTTCCTCCCACTCTCTCTCGCTGCCCGCCGGCCTTCGTCGCACTAGCGCCCCCAGCGGCGCGCAGGCTCCGGGAAGCGCAGCGCGCGCGGACCCCGGGGGCAGTTTCCTAGCAACCGGCGCAGCTGCTACGTCACGGTGGCAGGTTCTAAGCGCTGCCGGGCACCGTAGGGCCGCCGTGTGTATCTTCCAGCATCTGCGGGCTGGTGGAAGCGCTGCTCACAGTCAGTGTCCGTACGTCTTCGTCCGCCATTACCCTCCTTATCCTGCTCCAGGTAGCGGACAGCCGCCTCCCGCCGCGCACCCTCCACTGAGGCCCGGGTCAGAGACTAGGGGCCGCCCGGCCCGCCCCTGCGCGGCCCTTTCCCCTGAGCCCGCGGAGCCCGCCGCCCCGGGCCTCGGGGGAACGATGCTGGAGTCCATTCGCGTGACGGGTGAGTGCAGGGAAGGGCTGGCCGCGGCGCGGGTGCGGGGCGGACCGGGGTCCCGCCGCCCGGGGTCCAGGTAATGGTAGCTACCGGCTGGGCGCGCCGCTCGGGACTCCACCCTGCGTCCCGACCCCTGCGGGGCGCTCAGGAGGCGCTCGCGAAAAGCCTACGGAGGGAAGAGAGAAATCGGCCCCTTTTCCTTTCGTCACTTATTATCAGTAAGTACATGCTGTGGAATCTCGTGAAAAATATTATAATAATAGACCGGTTGCTGGTCCTACAAAGGTACAATCCAAAGATTGTTAAATCTTATTTTCAAAACACGCTAGGTGTGTGATTAAGCTTCATAATTTTCTAGAATAGTCAGAAAAAATAAGCTAAGTGAAAGAACACATCTGTATTTCAGTATTTATGCTGTGTATATTTGTGTGTGTATGCTTTTATTCTTAAACGGTGAGAACATTTTGAGTTGATATTATAATAGGCCATTTTACAGTACAGATTATACCAAGGGTAAAACATGGGTCTTTAAACAGACCCCAGGTCAGAAAGTCTGAAAGTTTACCTGCATTTTTAAAAATTCAGTTCGATCTCTGGGAGCACAGAACTTGACTCTTACTATTTGTAAATCGCTATGCGTGTTAGCCATTAAAAAAAAAAAAACCTTACGTAATCTTAGAGTAATTTTCTAGGCCATTTTCCCAGCATTTGATTCTGTACGCAAACATTTTTGCAAGGCAGGGTTTTGACAGTTCAGAATTATGACGAAGAACAACGGAGTAAAGGGAAATACCTACTCCTCAAACTAGTGCCAAAATAAGGCCGGAATTTTAAATTTTAAAACAATGCAGTACCTAATAGACTATTTTTCTGTGAGCACTCTAACTGAAAAACCAAACCCCTTGCCAGTGAAAACATGATTTTAATTTTATACTGTTTTATTTCATGTTCAGTGTTACACAGAGTTGATTTGTGCAGTCATGACATTGCCGCGATGTATCTCATTTATGTTGACAGGAAACATAGTTAGGAGCTAAGATTGAAAAGGCAACTTTAATTGGCGTTAGAGTTTTTAAAAATGTGATTTGATGTAGATGCTACTTTCGTCCTAAAACACAATTAAAATGTCAAAAGTTACTTAAAAGTACCATACCTCCTAAATATGGAGCGAGGTTTCTCAACCTCAGCACCATTAACTTTGTTGTTGTTGTTATTTTTGAGACAGAGTCTCGCTCTGTCACCCAGGCTGGAGTGCAATGGCGCTGTCTCTGCTCACTGCAATCTCCACCTCCCGGGTTCAAGCGATTCTCCTGCCTTGACCTCCCGAGTAACTGGGATTACAGACGCACGCCACCACGCCCGGCACATTTTTGTAGTTTTAGTAGAGACAGGGGTTCACCATGTTGGTCAGGCTGGTCGGAACTCCTGACCTCAGGTGATCCTCCCACCTCGGTTTCCCAAAGTGCTGGGATTACAGGCATGAGCCACTGTGCCCAGCCTAGCACTGTTAACTTTGGACAAGATAATTCTTCCTTGTGGGATGCTGTTCTCTGCCCCGACCCCATAATTGTGACAACTAAAAATCACAATTGGGCAGGGGGGTGGGGGAGGGCAACATCTTCTTCTCCATAGAATCAGTGCCTTGAAGAAAAATGTAGATTTCTGTCACAGTGCACATTATTTAACTGAGAAATCACATAGATTAAAATTATTTTCCCAAACCGTAACAATCATTGTAGAGATACAAATAAAATAATATTAGTATTAGAAAGCAGATACTCTGATCATTTAGTCATGCAGAGTGATCTCTTGATATGTCAACATGTTGAGTTAGAAGTTTGAGAAGAGATACTTTAGAAAGTAGTAGACCCACTCCTCTTGTCTCATTTCCCTTCCTATAATTTAGTGGCGGTACATTTATCAGTCCAACCCTGTATGTTTGCAAACCCTGAGGTAAATAATTTGGCAGTGAATTTCTATAGTACAATAAAGTTCAAATAGCCATTTGAGACCATTCAGGCCTCTAATTTACAATTCCTTTAAAAATAACTGGGTCATTTTTCAGACTACTTTCTCTCTTACATAGTACTTAACTAGTTGAAATCATTCTAGAGCCCGGTGCCCAGCATTTCACTGCGATATCAGAAAAACCCAATTTGGACAGCCAGAAACTTCATGTAGAGAGTTAAGCTGAAAACATGCCCTCCTCTCCCCTGGTCATTCCCTCACGATTCATTGATATCTAAGATGGCCATGTTCTTCTTTCTGGTTAGCAGAACTTGATTGTGGTAAGAGTACTGATGGAAATGTGTTCATTTTTTTTTCAGCTCTAAAAGTTGTTACAAATATAGAACAGACTCATTATTTTATATTTCAGGAATGAAGCAATTACTTGTTTCTGAAATCACTTCCTATGTAATATCTTACCCACTTTTGACTTATTAGTATATGCTATCTCTGCTGTTTAAAAATGGAATCAAATCAGAAAAGGTTTTTTTTGACTTCTCATGGCCTTTCAAAGAGGAAGGTTCTCAGGCTGGGTGCAGTGGCTCACACTTGTAGTCCCAGCACTTTGTGAGGCAGAGAGCAGATGGATTACCTGAGCTCAGGAGTTCGAGACCAACCTGGGCAACACAGCAAAACCCCATCTCTACAAAAAATTAAAAAATTAGCCGGGCATGGTGGCCCGCGCCTGTAGTCCCAGCTACTTGGAAGGCTGAGGCAGGAGTATCACTTGAGCGCCCAGGTGTCAGAGGTTGCAGTGAGCCAGAATTGCCACTGCACTCCAGCCTTGGTCACAGATTGAGACCCTGTCACAAAAAAAAAAAAAAAAAAAAAAAAGAAGGTTCTACTTTAGCTTCTGGGATTTAAAATAAAAAAGAGGGTTTATTATACTAAAGCCACTAAAATCTTGATTCTAAAATATAGATTAATTACCTTATTAACATGAAATTTGCCTTGGAATTCAAATTTAATGATTCAAAATATTTCCCTATGTACATTTTTCCATGTGGTGTTTCTGTAGGAGCTGAATATAATATTTAATGTGATACTAATAATAGTTAACAGAGGCTGCTTATAGTCCAGCACTGTTCTCAGCACTTCACACATATTAACTTTTAAAATCCTTACAACAGTACTACGAAGTATGTATTATTATTATCATCCCATTTTACAGATAAGGAAACTATAGCACAAAGAAGTTATGTAACTTGGTCAGGGTTATAGCTATTAATAAACAGAGCCAAGATTCATACCAGACAGCTCCATTCCAAAGCCCATGTTGTCAACTACTAGGAAAATCAGCTCACTATTATAGTGACTGTACACTGATTTGAGCCACAAAACCCAACCTCAAGATTTCATTTAATATCTGTGTCACATTATCTGATGGTTTGCTCAAGTGTTGGTTTTTAGGTTTTTAATCACAGGCAAGTATGTAATAATTTTTACCTGGGAAAATCCTGTTTCACTTGAATATAAATTTGTTGTTTTCAAAATAGAAGACATCTAGGTCATTCATTAAGAAAATGCTGTGAGAAACCATATAAGATTATGTTCATTTATGATTTCCTATTGGCTTTATTTTGTATGTGATGTAAGAAGTGATTAATGAGTCATTCCAGAAATGAAGTGTCTTTATATCAAAGATGAATGTTTAAAAATACTGGAAACGAAAGTCTTAAGGCCAGCGTTAGGCCATACAGGATGAATATACCTAGGCACATAGCTCCTATTTGTTCTACAGCGGCAGGTACTTCCATTAAAACTTACCATTAAAACTTGTCTTCAACATCACTAATTGTTTCATTTTTCTTTTGCCTTCCTGGGATTATTTTTTCCACAATAGTCAGGCAACTAAGTCTTTTACCCTTTCTTTCCTCTCAAATATTCTCTTCCCTTGTCTACTTCTCTGGCCACCCTTTCATAAGCAGGATAGTGAATGAGCAAAACCAAACACAGATGTATGTTGTAAAAAAGCTTATAATTTCATTGTTGAGGAAGTCTGTCATACAACAAATATAAACCTGCAACCATGATAAAGGACTTCGAAGAAGAGATATAAGGTGTTATGAGGTTCTAAAATGAAAGAGTTAAGGAAGGCTTCCTGACCAAGTGCTATTTGAACTGAAAGATGAGTGGGTATTAATCTAAGAAAAAGAGGGATAGAAGGGCCCAGCAGACACAGAGAGTAGCATGTGAAGAAGTATGCTCGGAGAGAGCATGGTAAGGATGAGATAGGGTCAAAGTGAGAGAAGGCTGAAGTGGAGAAACTGAGGAACACAGTGTGAGGTGAGGCTGCAGAGGCAGAAGGATCTGACCGAGAGTGACCTCATAGACCACAGTTAGGAGTTTTGTCCATCCCAAGGGAAAGCCATGTTTGTTTCTGGCACATTCAATGTTGTTTTAGATGATGTATAATGCTCACTCTTACCACAACCATCACCATCAAGGGTATCTAGACTACTCTGTATATTTCTAACTGTAAAAACAACAAACATACAAGTTTCTGACCCCAAAACAACAGTGTCCCATTATAAGTTACTAATAGAGCAACACTGAATTGCTCTTACCTGGGACTGTGAAATTTTTAGGAATCCTAAAGTACAGTCAAGTTTCTGAATTCCTCAATGACATTAGCAGTGCCTTTCGTCTCATTTTCTTAAAGTTGATAAGCTACATTGGTTGCTATTGAATTTAGAGATACTATAGTTAATAGATTATCTGTTATAGTGTGGACAAATTGAGCAATAAATGTATTTTTAAGGATACTGATTTTATACATCCTTAAAAAAATTAAAGTGTAACTTAAATAAAGTTTACAAGTCTTGAATGTGCAGGCCAATGACTTTGTACATACATAACCATTGCCCAGAACAGATAGAGAACATTTCCAGCACCTAGCAGGTTTCCTGGTGTCTCCTCCTAGATTATGATTCATCCCTCAAAGGTAACTGCTATTCTGACATCTAATACCATAAATTAGTTTTGCTGTTTTGGACTACATATAAACGGAATTATACACTATATAATCTTTTGATGTGGCTTCATTTGCTCAACATTGTCTGAGATACATCCATATTGTTGCTTACAATGTCAGTTTTCCTTTCATTGCCGTATAGTCTTCTGTTGTATGAGCCTACCACAATTTATCCTTTCTACTGTTCATATTGTTTGAGGTGTTTTTGTTTGTTTGTTTGTTCGTTTGTTTGATTTTTAGAGTTGGGGTTTTGCTATGTTCTGTAGGCTGGACTCAAACTCCTGGGTTCCAGTAATCTTCCAGCCTCAGCTTCCTAAATAGCTGGGATTACAGGCATGTGCCATTGTGCCTGGCTTCTTTTGAGTTTTAAGTGATGAAATTCTTGATAAAATTAAAGTTTACCTTGTTTGGGGATTATTTTGTTTTGTTTTGGCCTTTCTTTTGTTTGTAATCAAGTAACCTATTGTTTTGTGGTATAAAATTATCCCAGATTCTCAGGTTTTGTAAGTATTAGTGAACCACGGAAATTTCCATTTTGTAGGTCAAAACTGGTTGAATAGTATTTGCCACCAGGCTTTCTTTCTGGTGATCTTCCTTTTCAGCCAGAGACCTCTTGATTCCTATGAAACCTCACCTACTCACAGTTGTGAAACACTGCATTTAGAGAGCAGTGTCTCCCTTTTCCCCCATTCTTTTAGATGAGGAACGGGAGGTAACGATGGACTTAATGATTAGGCTAATATTACAGAGAGGTCATTGAAAGAGCTGGGAATGGATGTCAGGAATCTTGGTATCCTTTTCTCCTGTTCTAGATATATACTAAGCTTTCATTGTGTTGATTACTTCGGTATATTCATCTACTTGTGAATAGACTGTCAATTTTAATGCACAAATATTATTTACCCTTTTTTCTTCAGTATGGGTAATCAGGTTGGGGTGAACAATTTTCTTCTATCAACAAATTATTTTCGTTCTTCCCAATATTATAGTGAAACAGATTGCTTGTAGCTTAAGTTTTACATTATATAATGAGTACCTTTAATGTGAGAAAGTATGCTTTTTAATTACCTTATTACTTTTCTGGGAAAACACGAGCTACACTTCCTCCAAATAAGTCTGTTTATGCTTTAAAAATGTTTTAATTCAGGAAAAAGGATTCAGAGAATAGGATGTTCTTTAATAAATTGTGTCAAATGTTATCAGCCTCTTAGTGTTCTTAACCATGTTCAGGTCTTTTTTCCACAAAATAAGCAATAGTATTTAAAATTACAAAAACAATCTCTTAGGTTCTATGATAGTTTTTAATGCAACTGAAATACAATTACTGTGACTCTGAGAAATTAATTTATATCCATCTTGTATGAGTTGTGTGAAGGACCATGTGCTCCACTTTTATGAACTTCATGGGCTATCCAGCATTTAACAGGATTGGCATTTGTAAAATAAATAGACCATTAACACTCCCAAACTTTATTCAGCAGCAGATGGAGCTTCAAAAGGACTCGTGCTAAGCTTTTCAGGAGATAATTAGCAAGTGAACTGAAATGCTGTAATTCCTGGGGAGAGAGGTTCTGTCAGGCATATACTGTCATCCCGCTGCCATACTTCACTCCTCCTTGAGTATTTTGACAGGTGGTTTAGGACGGTTTTTTTTTTTAGTATCTGGAAATGTATAGGCTGTTTCAGATGGCACGAAATTGTGAATTTGGAGGTCACTGATGCTTTATGACCACAGAACTCGGCAAGTCCAGTTCTTTGGTCATAAAGCTACTAGGTCTTAGAAAACAAAGAGCATTTTTACATTGAATATTCATTTTAAAAAAATCAGCACAACATATATGTAGTGAATCATCAAAACAGAAATTCTTCAGAGTAGTCTTATTTATTTATTTTAATTTGATGTAACTCCGTCCCTTTTTATTACGAAGATCAGTTGAGAAAACAACCTGATTTCCTCCCTTTGCCTTTCCAGCTCCGGCTAGTCCTTACTGTACTTCCTAGGCTTATGCTTATTTGAGTTCTTTTATACTTTCCCTTTTCATGTCTATTTCGGTTTTTTTTCATTATCACCCCTTGTCTCCTAAGCTTGTGGTGTCATTTTAGGGAAACCGACATTATTCCTGGGCATTCGGGCTACAGCCTGTGTCCTGGTTTTCCTTAGCCTGTTTGCCTGGCCTGCCCAGTTCTGACTGTTAGTTGACGACACACAAATCTATGAAACTCCTGAGAAACTGGGAGCTACCAGCCTATGATTAATGTTTTGTTTATTTGTCCAGTTAATTTTGTCTTGTTGAGTCTTTAACATTTATTGAACAGCTTCTTTGTACAACCTGTCTTCAATGACCCTATGTAATCTAGCTCCTACCTCTAAACTCACACATATAATAGACATTTAGCCCCTGCAAGCTTTAGAGATAGCTGTGTTATCTTTTAGACGTCAGAATTCAGATTTCACATGCTGGCCTAGAAAATGTAAGAAAAAGGACTTTTAAATACCTTACATATTTGGATTATTATCTACTTTAGTACTGTCTCTTTACCCTAGACTCTATGACTCCTGGAATTTAAAAACTAATATTTAGATCAGAGTTTCTCTACCTTGATACTATTGACATTTTGAAATGAATATTTCTTTGTTGTAGGAGATTGTCCTATGCAGTGAAGGATGTTTAGCAGCATCCCTGGCCTTTACCTGCTAGATGCCAGTAGCCTCTCCCCGGTTGTGACAACCAAAATGTCTCTAGACATTGCCAAATGTTCCCTGGAGGGTAAAATCCCCTTCTGTTAGGAACCACTGGTTTAGGGTCTTTCCTGTTATATTTTCATGTCTGCAGTAATCTCATATTTGAATGGTCCCAGAACTACAAGTACATATTTATTCAGAATGGTTGCAGAATTGCATGTTTAGGGTCATTTATTTATTCACTTGTTTATTCAGTGAACATTTATTGACAGGAGTTGAGCTGGAGTCTTGTTCAGATGAGATGTATTTAAGACAAACTTCATCAGTTTAGAATTGAGTCTGAAAACCCTTAAGGGTCTACTTGAAATCTCCTCATCTGTTTCTCTTCACATTGCTTTCTTCCTCATCTAAACTATAGGTTATTGTTTGAGTCTTTTGTTTTTCATGTTTAATTATATACTACATTGTATTATTGTTGAAATCTTCATAGGAATGCCTTGTCTTCAGAGCCAGATTAGAAGCTGATTATTGGTAAGAACAATGTGTTTATACGGTTGTTTATCAGAGCCATGTGCTGAATCAGTAGTATTCTACGTATTTGTTGAATGAAAGAATGCAGATCAACACAGTTTTAAAGTAGTGAATGCTCAACAGTATATCCAGTGATTCTTACCTGCTTAAAGCACTTGCGAGTTCTAAAAACAAAGCTGCCCTCTCCTTCACTTGCCATTTGATATATTAATACCTTTGTAATAGTCTTAAAATTTGCTTTTCTAACTTGCCAAGAAAAAAAGGCTTGTTTTTCTTTAACCTTAACATACAGCTTAGAATTATGAAGAAAATCAACCAGTTATTCATACTAAGTGACATTACTAAAACATGCTTGAAGATGCCATCTGTTTAATCTTAACAGTGGTTTTTGAGTAAATAAGGCTTTGTTGTTCTTCTTTTACTGATAGCTACCTTTTATATATTTCCAAATTTCAAGATTGTATTACCTATGAAAGTGCCTTGGATTTTACTTTATTACTGAAAATACTATTTTAAAATATATGCTTTCTATGAAATCCACATTTTTTTTTTTTTTTCTTTGAGATAAGGTCTCACTCTGTCACCCAGGCTGGAGTGCAGTGGCACAATCTCAGCTCACAACAACCTCTGCCTCCCGGGTTCAGGCAATTCTCATGCCTCAGCCTCCTGAGTAGCTGGGATTACAGGGGCACACCACTATACCTGGCTAATTTTTGTATTTTTTGGTAGAGACAGGGTTTCACCATGTTGGCCAGGCTGGTCTTCAGCTCCTGCTCAAGTGATCTGCCTGCCTCGACCTCCCAAAATGCTGAGATTACACAGTGAGCCACTGTGCCCAGCCGAAATCTACATTCTTTTTTTTTTTTTTTTTTTTTTTGAGACGGAGTCTTGCTCTGTGCCCCAGGCTGGAGTGCAGTGGCGCGATCTCGGCTCACTGCAAGCTCCGCCCCCCCGGGTTCACGCCATTCTCCTGCCTCAGCCTCCCGAGAAGCTGGGACTACAGGCGCCTGCCACCTCGCCCGGCTAATTTTCTTGTATTTTTAGTAGAGACGGGGTTTCACCGTGTTAGCCAGGATGGTCTCGATCTCCTGACCTTGTGATCCGCCCGTCTCGGCCTCCCAAAGTGCTGGGATTACAGGCTTGAGCCACCGCGCCCGGCCGAAATCTACATTCTTTTGTAGAATCAAGTATTCAGATTATTTATGTATATTATCTCACATATTAGACTTTGATCATCTAAATGGTTTGAAGCTAAGGATTTTTATAGATAATTTAACTTACATATACTCATAGAGAAGAGAAATGACAGTATCTAGCATGACCAAAGTTTAGTAATATATCCTTTTAATATTTAAAATGTTTTTTTCTAATGATTATTGCAAAATTACGAAGTTTAAAGAATCTTCAGAATACCTTTCCTAATAAACAGTTTGCTTCATCTGGTATCTTTGTTATTTCTTTTGTTTTGATTTTGTTTATTAACACAGAAAAGCTTCACTGGCCTGAGCAAGAACTTGCTAAGAAGTCTGTTCTAAATGCAGAAGATTCATTGATCATTGACAGCAAAAGAAGCATTTCACATTTATCCTCGGGAGTGCTAAAAGACATTTTCACAACTGGAACCAGTAGTTACAATGTCCTACTACAGAGCAAGGAGGAAAAAAAGTATCACTCACAAAAACAGTCTTCCTCCACCTACTCCAAAAGATGTAGAAAACCCAGCAAATCTCCTAACACTTCTCGTAGCAAAGATCCTCGCAGGATGAAAGCCCTGGTGCCTGTGACAAGCAGTGGTACTTGGTACTGCCTGGAAAGGCGGCCTGCTGTTTTTGTCACTAGTTCAGTGTCGAGTCCTGTAAAGTTTACACATGATATCTCTGTTACAGGGAATGGTATAGTACTGCCACCTAAACCCAAAAGCAAGGGCAAGTGGTGCCATTTCTCCACTCTTCCAAAGACAAAGCCACAGCCTCAGCTGTCTAGAAGCTTTGAAAAGGGAGATGACTTTTCTGGGAAGAAATTTTGTATATTGACTGCTATAAAACCCATCAACTTAGAGAAAGAAAAACTGAGATTCTTCAAATCTGACTATACCTACAATCCTCAGTTTGAGTATGCCAATCCTGCTCTGCCAAGCGTATTAGCTAAGCACAGCCACGCATCTGACCGATTTCTTAAGCAGGTAAAATGCCATTTCAATAGTGGTAGTTCATTTATATGTACTAAAACAATTATCTATGATCTTATAAGCAAAAACAAAGACATTTTAAAATATTCAAATTATTTCTTTTTTTTTTTAATTCAAATTATTTCTATGTTATGGTTAATTCCCTCTCAGGACATGTAAATATGTGACAAGATGAGTATCACCTGTATATAAACTACATTGTTCTCATCAAAATTTATAATCTGTTATATAGACTCTCTGTGACAGGAAGCAATTATATTAGGAAAACAGCTTCAGATTCTGGTTCTAAGCTTTCATGTGGGAGTTACAAACTTGTGGCCAATTTAGCCGCCTACAGACAAGTGTTGGGTAGCCCACATTACATTTTTGTTTTCTAATTGATTTATTTTTTGTTTTTTGTTTTTTTTTGAGACAGATTCTCGCTCCATGCCCAGGCTGGAGTGTAGTGGCGCGATCTTGGCTCACTGCAATCTCTGCCTCCTGGGTTCAAGCGATTCTTGTGTCTCAGCTTCCCCAGTAGCTGGGACTACAGCCCCCCCCACCATGCCCAGCTAATTTTTAGTGAAGATGGGGTTTCACCATTTTGGCCAGGCTAGTCTCGAACTCCTGACCTCCAGTGATTTGCCCGCCTTGGCCTCTCAAAGTGTTAGGGTTACAGGTGTGAGCCACCATCCCTGGCCTCTAATTGATTTTTTAATGTCTTAGATGGAGCATACAATCCCTGGTTCTTCCTATTGTGTTAAATTCCTGGCTTGCTTAGGCTCCAGTAAGTAGTTTGGGAACTGAAGCTTGATTCTTGTCCGTGAGCTTGTTAATGCTTCACTGAAATTGTTAATCATCATGAAATAAATATTTAAGCACTTATTCAAAGATAAAAAAATGGGATTTTCAAAATTATCTTCAAGGTTAGCAAATTATGATGTGAATGATATGAATAATACTTTTAAATTGCTCACTTTAAGTCCTTAGCAGTTTTGTGTTTTACAGGGCTATAATACATTTCAGAACCTCATTTAAGTAATTAAGAAGAAATTAGCTAATGTTTATCTGCAGGGCATAGTTTTGAGATCATAAAGGCCGACAATATTTGGTCAAATTAACTTTGTTCAGGTTCTTATATTAGCTTCAATGTGGCATTGTCAGTGACTGAAAGTCTGTTTATAGGATAGGTAAAACTGCATGGTTCCTCTCTCCTGTGGTGCATGTCCTATTTTACCATTTTTGCTGATAATAGTTATTTGGTCTCGCGGCCAGCAGATATTTGGCTGTTTATTATAGATAACATCGAATCTGGCCAGTCTTTTGAAGCCATTATGTAAAACTTAATTATGTAAAGCCATTATGTAAAGATTAAAACAATTTTAATCATGGTATTTACTTTCCTTTATTAGGATCTCTTTTTACTGCTTCTGTATTCTTTAATGACTATTTGCTTTTTAAAAAATGTGCTGAGATTGTGCTAAAAATTGTGATCCAAATTGATAAGTTACTAATATAAAGTGGCACTTTTGGATAGGAGAAGGCAGCATTAACATAGTGATTATATAATCCACTCTTAGGCTGTACTACTTCCACATTGTAAAATGGAGTGAAGAAAATACCTGCTTTAGATTATTTTGATAATTAAATGAGAGAATGCTTAGTGCATATATAGCAGTTATCATCGTGCTCGACACCTAAAAAGCACTAATAAAGAGGTTAGCTGTTATTTTTATTTCTATTTGGCAGACATTCTTACATGTGATTTTTTTTGTGTGTGGAAATTGCAGTTGATTGAACAAGGCTTTCACAAATATAAATTTTACAATGACAAAAATCCTATTTGCATTTTCCCCCTGATGCTGAAAGAGATGGCTGAGAGTTATTTACCAGTATTCCTTAATTTGGAGACCTACCCCACCCCTGCCTGTTGGGAAGGATATTTCCAACCATTAGATTAAAAATAATGCTCTTTGATTTCTCTGGAAGGCAATTTGGGAGCCTCAGCAGCCCCACAGATTGAGAATTGACATTGCTTGGCCTGTGGCTTTGCAATTTTAATTTTGACCCAATTCCAGCTTTAGGAGATTAATCCTACACTTGAATTACTTGAGACTTCTAAGTAGCACTAGCAATCTTAGCTGACTTGTACTGCAGATGCCACCGTTTGGGAGCACATTCTCAATAAATGCCAAGTCTACTGTTTAAAACACTTTAATCAAAGAAATACATGGTACAAGACCTCTGGGAAAATATACTTAAATTCTTATTCAGCTACCAAATGAATAATGACATGATATCATACATCCATCTCCTCCTTAGATAAAGCAGCAGCTTCAAGGCTGGTCTCCAGGACTCAGAAACATGATCCCCAAAGGGGCCAGGATGACCAAATAGCCCCATGGTCTCTGGATTCTACCTTTGAGGCCTTGCCAACCCCCAGCTGACAGTCTCTTGAGTTTCACAATCTGGATCTTGGTAAAGCAGGCAATCTGTATTGTTTTGCAGGATGATTGTGGTCCTCTTAAGTGCATAGATTGGCGGAATGATGCTAGACTTTCACGCACAGATAAGTCTGCCACAGTGGAACTGAGGCAGTGCTCATGCTCTGTTTTCCCCATCATTGTCAAGGAGATCCAGGCCTCAAGTTTTCTGGTCTCGGCAGTGTGTCCCTAGGGAGGCACTGAGACCACTGAGGTGATACAGGGCAAACAGCAGGCTGCAGGACTAGAATATAATTCTAGGTGGAGCCTGCTGAGCCCTGCCTTGCTGCATGCTGGCAGCCATGGTAGCCTCAGCTTCCTGACTATCTTAGATATGTTTAAACTTGACAGAAACTCAAGATGTCTGTTTTCTGTGGCTTTGGACCTTTGCAGAAAAGAGCACAGTGCTTCATAGGTGCTAAGGAAGGGATCTGGAATTAGAGCCTGCAGAAAGCTACTTGGGGTCAGGTGCATCCTCACCAGTGGGTCAGAAGTAGATTCTTAGTGTGCTCTTGAGCAGTAAATAGTTCAGATAAAATCTGTATGTTATCTTGAGTTCATGTGAGTTTTGTATCATACTTCATATTGTATCTTTATTCTAATAAAGAAAAATGTAAATTGCCTATCTTCAAGTAAAATGGATACTTCAAGAATAAACAAGGAGGCTGGGTATGGTGGCTGACACCTGTAATCCCAGCACTTTGGGAATCTGAGGCAGGTGGATCACTTGAGGTCAGGAGTTCGAGACTAGCCTGACCAACATGGTGAAACCCCGTCTCTGCTAAAAATACAAAAAATTAGCCGGGCATGGTGGCAGCCGCCTGTAGTCCCAGCTACTTGGGAGGCTAAGGCAGGAGAATCGCTTGAACCTGGGAGGTGGAGGTTACAGTGAGCCAAGATGGCGCCACTGCACTCCAGTCTTGGTGATAGAGTGAGACACTGTCTCAAAAAAAAGGCATAAACAGGGAGTATCTTCCCATGGTTCTGGCAACCTCTCTATTCTCCCGCAAGGTGAAAAACAGAAAGTTAGTACTAAAGCTTTGCCAACCAAAAACAACTGTTTTCTTGAACAGCTTACTCTCAGAAGATTACATATTAACAATTACTCACCTGTAAAATTAGCCCTGTCACCAAAAGACCTGTAGCATCTTTTTTGAGACAGGGTCTTGCTCTGTTGCCCAGGTTGGAGAGCAGGGGTGTGATCATAACTCACTGTAGCCTTGAACTGCTGGACGCAAGCGATCCTCCCCATTTAGCCCCCAGCCCCAGTAGCTGGGACTCACAGGCATGCACCAGCACACCAGGCTAGTTTTTAAAAACTTTTTGTATAGGTGGGAGGTCTCACTATGCTGCCTTGGCTGGTCTCTTGAGCTCAAGTGATCCTCTGGCTTTGGCCTCCCAAAGTGCTAAGATTACAGGTATGAGCCACTGCGCCCGGCCTGACCTGTAGCATCTTGAGGGGAAAGCATAGACAAGACACCTTCTGGGAAGAAAAACAGCAATCGGGAAAAGCCAGAACACTGTATGTCTCAGAGCAAGCAGAGGTTCTGATCAGAACAAAGTCATAATTTACTAACTACAAACATACTTTTTTTTTTTTTTTTTTTGAGATGGAGTCTCACTCTGTTGCCCAGGCTGGAGTGGCCATCTCCACTCACTGCAGCCTCCACCTCCCAGGTTCAACCAGTTCTCCTGCCTCAGCCTCCCGAGTAGCTGGGATTATAGGCACCTGCCACAACGCCAGGATAATTTTTGTATTTTTAGTAGAGATGACGTTTCACCTCATCTGTTGGCCAGGCCGGTCTTGAACTCCTGGCCTCAAGTGATCCACCCACCTCGACCTCCCAAGGTATTGCGATTATAGGCGTGAGCCATTGTGCCCGGCCCATACTTTCTAATAATACAACATTAAGAGTGATATATCTTGATTTATTATAAAAAGATATATCCATGAGTGAAGCAGTATGGTTGCAGTAAGAGTTGAAAAAGAAAGCTGCAAGAAAAGTGTTTTGTTTTGTTTTGTTTTTTATTAATTTTTAAGATGGAATCTCACTCTGTTGCCCAGGCTGGAGTGCAGTGGGGCAATTTCAGCTTACTGCAACCTCTGCTGCCTGGGTTCAAGTGATTCTCCTGCCTGGTCCTCCCAAGTAGCTGGGATTACAGGCATGCGCTGCCACGCCTGGCTATTTTTTTGTATTTTTAGTAGAGACAGGGTTTCACCATGTTGGCCAGGCTGGTCTTGAACTCCTGACCTCAGGTGATCCACCCTCCTCAGCCTCCCAAAGTGCTGGGATTATAGACATGAGCCACTGTGCCTGGCAAAAAGTTTATTTTTCAAAAAGTGTTCGATGTTTCTTAAGGCATTTTCGTCACAACTATATAATTTAAGAGTTAGCATATCATTTGATATTGATAGATGTCTATTTGAGTGGAAAAACTATTCTCCTTGTGTTATTGTATCTTAATTTTTTTTTTTTTTTTAACAGAATCTCCCTTTGTCACCCAGGCTGGAGTACAGTGGTGCGAACATGG